TGCTTTCTGAATGTCACCCATTAGGAACCTTGCATGATGTAATAAGCCATCTCAGAGACCCCTTGTAGTTCTTATCTTGGGTAAAGAAGAGACAATGTTAACTCAGTTAGGGGGTATATGAATATATTTTATTTTTCAAAACTACCTATTTGTATAGGGCTTTTAGAATAATCTTTTAAAACTGGAGTTGGAATCATATCATTTTGACTTATCCCTTCATTCTATTTTAAAGTAGTGATTTTCAAAGTGTGGTGGTCCCTGTAATAGCAGCAGCAACAGCAACTGGGAACTTGCCAGAGATGAAAATGTTGGCATACCACTCCAGTCTTGCTGAATCAGAAACTATGGGGCTGTGGGCCATGCTTTTGTAAGCCTTCCAGTTGAAGTATGCCAGAGTTTAAGAACTGCTCTTCTAAACCAATGTTTAAATCTACTTTAACAAGTCTATCTAGATACCTATGTACCAATCTATCTAATTTCTATGCTAATGAGGTTTCAGTCTAGATGGAAGCTATTCAATTCCACTTTTATGGCCTCTGCAGAGTGTATTCCTACTGTTATTTTTCATGTTCTGAAAGGCACACATATATTAAAGTTTTAAAATAATGTCCTTCAGAGGAATCTCCTCAGTGGATTAGCACAAGTAAGTATCTGAAAGTATTGTTGTTGTTGCTGTTATGTGCCATGGAGTTGGTTCCAACTCATAGTGACCCTGTACAGGGTTTCTGAGGCTGTAAATCTTTACGGGAGCAGAAAGCCTCATCTTTCTCCCACGGAACAGCTGGTAGTTTCGAACTGCTGACCTTGAGGTTAACAGCCCAATTCATAACCACTACTCTACCAGAACTCCTTTGTATAGGTGACCTTAAAGTAGAGGTGACTGTGATGACATGAATGGAGCTAAACTTTCAGAACCTTAATTTACTGATATGCACAACTCAAAATGAGACATCCATTAATAATCAGAATGTGGAATGTACGAGGTATGAATCTAGGAAATTTGAAAGTCATAAAAAGTGAAATGGATTGCATAAAGATAAATATCGTAGGCATTAGTGAGCTGAAATGGACTGGTATTGGTCATTTTGAATCGGACAATCAAATGACTTACTATACCGAATGACAAACTGAAGAGGAATGGTGTCACATTCATAGTTAAAAAGAGCATTTCAAGAACTACCTTGCAGTACAGTGTTGTCTGTGATAGGATAATAGCTACATGCCTACAAGGTAGACTAGTTAATACCCCTAATTAATCAAAATGATTCACCATTCACTAAAGTCAGTGATGATGAAAATGAAGAAGTCTACCAACTTCTATAGTATGAAATTGATCCAAAATGCAATCAAGATTATATAAAAATACAATTGATAATTACTGGTGACTAGAATGCATAAGTCGGAGACAAAGAGGTAAATATGACCTTAATGATAAACAATGCTGGAGATCACATGATAGCACTTTGCAAGACCAACGACTTATTCATTGCAAGTACCTTTTGCAATAACAACAAAAAAAAGGAGACCGCACACATGTATCTCACCAGATGGAAAACACAAGAATCAAATGGACTAATTCTATGGGAAATCACAATGGAAAAGGTCATATCATCAGCTACAACCAGGCTAGGGCAGACTGTGGAACAAACCATCAGCTGTTCATAAGTAAGTCTGATTAAAGCTGAAGAAAAATAAAACAAGTCCATTAGAGCCAAAATATGACCTTGACTATCTCCTGCCTGAACTTCGAAACAATCTCAAGAATAGATTTGATGCATTAGACACTAAAGATCAGAAGAGTTGTGGAATGACATCAAGAACATCATACATGAAGAAAGCAAAGGGTCATTAAAGAGACAGGAAAGAAAGAAAAGACCAAAATGGATGTCAGAAGAGACTGTGAAACTTGTTCTTGAGCTAACACAACCAGAAGAAATGAGGAAGTAAAAGAGTTGAACAGAAATTGTCAAAGGGCAGCTCAAGAAAACAAAGTAAAGTATTATAATGAAATGTGCAAAGACCTGGAGTTAGAAAATCAAAAGGGTAGATAAAACATGTTCAACATTTCTCAAACTGAAAGAATGGAAGAAAAAGTTCAAAAATTTAACTTGCAATATTGATGGATTCTATCAGCTTGAGTACTAAGATGCGCCTGA